GTGGCATAGAACTTTTTCAATAAGAATAATATAGAACTCCTAAATCACTTTCCAATTCTGCTATAAAGTAAACTTGAGCTAACCTTTATCCTTTGCGTCCCGGCATCATACTTTTGATAATGCTGCTGCGTTTGAAGTAGTTTGGGTTGAATAGTGTAATCTCCAAAACTGATTCTGCAAGTTCACACTACAAATTATATGTGTATAGTCATAATATAATGTACTTTTCTTCCATTCCTTTTTTCTTGGTTTTTAAACGTTCAACTTGTCTATAAGATAATTTTATTTTGCATGCTTATCAAGTACTTTTGCTGCAAAACTAACTCTGATAACTGGGCCTTTTCTGCTTCCAAAGATTTCTTATTTCTGAAAAGCACAATCAAATAATTAATACATGCATCAAGCATAGATTATATAGAGTACTATACTTGGTTAAATCTTCATGAAGCAGTAACCTGTAAATAATATCATTTATGCCTTAAGCACATTATTCTGGTCTGGACCTATACCTCTCCATCTCTTCAAGTTTTTTCAAACATTCCTGAACTAGCATAGATACATCATCTAGATCTAGTTTTCTTTATGCATGCATGTATATTATGATAATATCATCAATTCCTTTAAAATCTTACTTGTAATCCATCTTGGCTGCTACGTTTGACTTCTGATACAGTATACACTTGGGCACTATTGTATGTAACAAAGCCATACAAATGTGACCAATATTCATGAGTTCTAAGAAAGCTATACTATAAATCTAGTTTAGTTATTTCCCACAATATAGATCTAAGTATGCAGTTCCAGGAATTTGGTATATGCTGGAATTAAATCCACGAGATTTGTAGCATCTATATTATTCTATACATGCTATAGATCTACTTGATAATACCATTTACATACTGTATATACTCTGAAATTTAGATCTATCAAAGAAGCTATAATACAAACAAAGTTGACAATATAGACTATAAATCATGTCATCTAAATAAATGCACATGTATAATTATTTTAGTTCAAATAGTTCATAATCCTAGTTTCTTTGACAATTTTTGCAAACTACTGCATCTTTAACATAACACAGTAAGACATTTTTTGTGATATTGACCTTGCAACTGTTTTGTGACAACAGCCTATAAAACAGAATTATTATTTGCATGCATTCAATGATAATAAAATATTACTTTATCACCACCAATGGGTTTATTACAACCCCAGCAATAGCAACAACTGCAGTAACTAGATCTATTATTCTTATAGTATAAGAAATCTTTATCAACTTCTTTATGACAACTAAAACAGCGATAATGAAATGGGTGCCAATAATATCCTAAGTGATAAGTAGGACTTTCTCTGTGATGATGATGATAACAGGTAAACATACCATGATCACCTTACCCTTTATCTAACTCAAATCTTTTTTTGCAAGCATGGCATTTACTCTTCTTTTCAGCTTCAACTAGTTTGATGACATATAAATCAAAAATTGATAGTCTAAAGTAGTACTTTTTGCTTTAGATATAGCTTCAGCCGAACCTGATGCTTCCTGTGGGTAATTTTTAGGACGTTTCCTTCCTTCAACAATAAAGCTATGATAATCTTCAGGGTCAAGGTTTATAATGACATCTCTTGCAAAATAAGCCATAGCTAGTTCATAATCTTTTGTACCACATTCTTGAGGGATATCAATAAATTGCTCTACCTGTTTGAATGCAGCCATGCATTGAGCATTATTATTATTATTCTTATTACATACTTCATCATCATTTAAAATTTCTGATTTATTTTTCTTTAGATACACTGTAAAGGCTTTATAAAGATCTGAAGTGCTACTATCTAATGGTTTGTCGGTAGGAGGAGGAGTTTCCAATGCTATCTTTAGCTTTTTTATCATTTCAGAAATAATCTCTTCTTTGTTTTCGTCAAAGCTTTGCTGAAATTATAGTGTATTTATATTTAATTTGTTATGCTATTAATCACCTCAACAATCTTAGATGCCCTTTTCCACTCTTCAAATTTAGCTTCCTTTGTTTGTGCATTAAAAACTTTCGGCAGATCACGATGTGCATTTTGAAAGTGGCTCTGATAGGATAGTACAACATCTTGATGTGTTGTATCTCCCGATGTCACATCTCCATACATCTTACGAGCCTCACTAGATGCACTAGTTTTTCTATAAGATGGGATGGATAGATATCTATTTTCTCAATTAGATCTATCACCTGTCAAGCTCTTCTACTTTGAATTCCAACTCTGCACACTCTCTATTGTTTTTTATCTTACCTAATCCATTATTTTATATTGCATACCTTACTAATTTTGACCTTTCCTCTTCTAGTTCCTTAATTTCTCTAAAATGGGTGACATTAAAAAGCATGTTTGGTAGACTCAATAATGGAACCTTAGTAAACTTTTCGAG